TTACATTTTTTCTTCATTTCTTCTTTATTTATTTTGCTTATTTTTTCCTTACAGTAATCACTTATTATTTATATATCTAAAAAACAAAACAATAATGAAAGTAACAGTTCTAGTCTCAAAAAAAGACATATTATGTATTACATAGGACTTCCCAAGCTGGTAACATCGTAGAAAGAATAAGTGCCTAAGATAAGCATGCTTCAGTGTGGTGCTGTTCATCCAGGTTTGTTTGGGCAAGCCCTTTCACTTATGGTAACCCTTCAAAGAAGAACTACATTCCATAGGGTTTCTAATGGCTGACTTTTCAAAAGTAGATCACAAGGCCTTTCTTCCAAGGTGCCTTTGGGAGGCCACGAACCTCTAACCAACCAGGGACTCCTACTCCTCATTCAATATTTACTGAGTTCCAGTAGGTTACTGGGGAGCTCTGGTGATGTAAACCCACCAATCACTCTGCAGAAGGAAAATTGGGTGATCTACTTCCGTAGAGATACCGCCTTGGAAACCCAAGGGCAGGTCGCTATGAATCGGCTTGGCTCCACAGCAGTGAGTTTGGGTTTTTTTGTTGTTGTTTATTAGGTGACTGAGACTGTGCTAGACCATGGTAACAGAGGCACTAGGCTCCCTGGCCTCCAGCAGTTTATGAGCCAATAAGGAGACAGATTATATTAATATAACCAGTATCAATTACTGTTGTGATAGAAAAGAAAGATGGGGTTTGATGGGGTTTTTTATTTTCTCCCACCCCCTCCCAGTTCTGTGTTCTCCTCAGCAAAATGAAAAAGTTGTATTCTAGGCTGTGTTTCCTACTGAGGGGCAGTCTTTTGAGATGAGGCCTTTGGTAAGAAAACTTTGAAATCTGTCCTATAACAAACTGTGGACTATGTTAAAAAGTCAAGCTAAAAGGGAATGAACAAAGATTGAGGGGCAGCAACATTTTTGTGATACTCTATTCTTAATCAAATGAGATTCCCTTAATTTATAAGAAGATAGTAAGAATTAACTTTTGAAAATGGTTGTGGTGAGCCATGAAGTTCAATCTTCATAAAATAGGTACTGCTCTTTCAGACAAACAGTCCATTTTTGATGACTTCTTATTTTGTTGAAATTGCTTTAACTGCTAATCACTGTGGTCGCCAAATACATTCTTCAGGAGCAAAGATTGTCAAGCAAGCATACACATAATGCAAAAATACCAGTCTGGCTTCTATTTTCGTAAATTATTTAATCTCCTATAATTGTTTTTGTTTGTACTCAAATTAGCTCAATTTTCACATCAGAGCAGAATGGTATCTTGTATTTTTTTCATTACAGGATCCATGAGCTGCTTTCATGCTGAAAATACTCCTTTTTCTGTTCACGTACTGACGTGTGAAGAAAGGGTTATTGCTTTCTTAAACATTTCCATAAGGCAAGTTAAAAAATGTTAAAATCCAAATGCTAGATGATAAGGAACTCTGGTAGCATAGTGGCTAAGACACTTGCCTGCTAACCAGACGGCTGGCGGTTCAAACCCACCAGCCACTCCTCAGAAGGAAGGTTGGGCAATCCTACTTCCATAGTGATACTGCCTCGGAAACCCAAGGAGGAGTCGGGGCCGACTCGACGGCACATAACAACAACAACAACAACATTCTTAATCAAAACCTATTTAGAGTTTCAAGTCAGGAGGAAAGCTCCATCTATTCAAAATCTCAGTGTTATTTAACTTACACTTTAGGAAAGTTACCCTGCAGAGGAATTAAAGTATGCAGAAGAAAAAGGCCAAAGTGCAGTATTAAATAGCTCTAGTTAACAAGTAACTTGAATTTTTTTCTTGTTAACTCAAGTTCACATTATACTCCAGGGAATACTCCAGGGATCCCACCCATCCCTGGGCCTCTCACTTTGTAAACAATGGAGAACACCCACATACTCAAGGCATGATTCCTCTATGACTGCTGAATCATGAACGTGTTGAATCATCTATAGCCTCTCTTCTTTAAAGTTTGCACACACCAAGTTGCTCCTGAATTTTAAGTTTTCAACTTTAAAAGACAAAAGCAAGAGGGAAAGTGTTAATCACAGTTTTCAATACTTCCCATAAATAAATAAATACTTTTCGTCTGGTGTTGACCAATAAAAATGTATATGGTGGTGTAGGGTTTTCAAGCTATACTATCACATCCTTTTCTGTAACTACAGAGGGAGAAAAATCACATTCTTGCATCTGATTCAATTCACTGTGATTTGCTCTTTTACAACATCTTTATGAAGAGGAAGATAAAAGTAACAAATGGCCCTCATATTAATAGACCCACCCTTGACCAGTGTCTGCCAAATTTCAGTGATTTGTATACCACCTTCACAAACTTTCCTATATCAAGAAGTCCACACTGCCTTATCCAAAATGCTGGGGCCAGAAGTGTTTTACAGTTGAGAGTCCTTAAGATCTACAAAGGTAGTATCGTGCATCTTGCATTACATAGCACCTCTATGCAGCACCCAGAGTTAAACACATGAATATTTCTGCAGCATAATATTTGACTATTCACACAAATGGAGATACATACAGAATAAAAATAGTCTCACATGAGTTCAGGACAGGCTTTGAGCAAATGCATTGCCATGAACTTACTTGAAAACAAGACAAAACAAAACAAATAATCAAAAAATCCCACTCTTTTCCAATTTTTTTTTTTAAGAATTGTAGTTATGTTACTGTGAACCTTTACCTCTCTTTAATCCATTCTTTATATATATATGTGTGTGTGTATATATATATATATATATATACACACATATATATATTTCTTAATTAACAAAAGGGGGGGGGAGTGAAAAATTATCTTTTACAACAGGTCTGCAAATTTGGTGAGGAAATTAAAATCTCCTTCTAATGCCACCCGTGCTGCCCCCAAATGCCTGGGTCAATGCAATGGATTGTGGGCCAAACTTCCCCCACACTCTCCAAGCCTGGCTCTGCCTGAGCTTTGACTGCCAGACAAGTCTGAGCATACCCCAAGCAACACACTCGCTGAGGCAGACAATCAGTCACACTCAAGTGGCACCAGGGCACCACTCAGTGCTGGCTTCTGGGCTGTTCTGCTCAGATCCTGTCACTGGCAGCCTCAGCCCTACAGACTTGTGTGGCCGCCAGTGTACACTCCTGGATGGCATAGAAGGGCTCAGAATCCCAGGCTGGAAAGGCCACTTGGTGGAATAAAAGGCAGGGTCCCAGAGGTTCCAGGAACCCTGATGGTGCAAATGGTTAAGCACTAGACTGTTAACCAAAAGGTCTGTGGTTCGAACTGAGAAAGAGCGTTCCAAAACTAGGGCTTTTGATATGACTGAAACTTCTGGCTATAGTCTAGGCCAAATCGCTCCTTGCCCTATGTGATTCCATATTGTACTTTTCTGTCATACAACACCAGAAAGTCAGCAGCTGAAACCCACCAGCTGCTCTGCAGCAGGAAGATGAGGCAATGTACTTCCATAAAGATTTACAGCCTTGGAAACCCAATGGAGGTCACTATGAGTCAGAATTGACTCAATGGCAGTGGGTTTGATTTTTTAGTTTGGTCGTACAATACAGGCTGTCACTTCTGTAAAAATTTTCCACTGTATTTTAACTTAAGTAGCTTCTACAGAAAAATTGCCCACTCTACTGATAGAGAGCTTGTAGTCAGAAATAGCCAATGTTAAGAGAACATTTAACAAGCATGTGGCTTCAGTAGCTAAGTGGATTCTAAGGTATCAAAGCCCTTTTCTTCTTCTTGAACATTAGAATACTTAGCATTTTCACTTGTAACCATCCTATTCTTTCACAAACTCTTTGCTTTTGCATTTCAACAGAACTCACCTTCACAATGCTAATGTAACTCAGTTTAACACAGGCTGTGAATATCTAGATGACAGAATATATGTGATTTTTGTGGTCAGCCAAAAAAATCCTATCACCTAGAGCCATCCTGACAAAGGAAATCAACCCCAGCAGAGGTAGTCAACCAAGACCATGCCACCTGCAACTTTTTAAATGTTTAAACATTCTTTTGCCATTAATAAAACTCTTTTGTTTTTACTTGAAACAGACTTGCAATTCTTTCTCTACAACAGAATCCATCCAGCTGGCTCCCTGAGAGAAAGGCGTGCTGATCTTCTCCACTAAACTTTACAGCCTAGAAAACCTTGTCGGGCAGTTCTACTCTGTCACATGGGGTCCTCAGGCATGGAAATCGACCCCACCACACCAACAAGATCCCCCCTTAAGCCCACATGAAGCCCAAATGGCCTAGAATTCCTAGAATTACTCAGTTCGGTTACTCAAACAACCGATGTTCTGGATACCCCCGAATATTATGCGGGCCACCTCATTTTGCCAAGCTGCGGGCGCCGTATAGGTCTTGAACACCCAAGGCCAAAGAGTGGCCACCAAATGTTGAAGGAGGTTATAAATAAGAAGGTAGAATGTTCCCAGGCTGCCGGCTGTCATTCACTTTACCCCGCCCAGTACCACCAACTCATTAACAGCTCAGGCCCGGCGGGACCGGCTGGGAGGAAGTCACCAGGGTGTGTGAAAAGCTCCTAATGACTTTGTATTTTGAAAGACACTAACCCAGGGGAGGGGAGGTTGAGCCTTCCTTTGGGACACAGACACTCATTCCTCTCCACCCTCCTCTGCCACCCGGCGCTGGGGGCTATAGTCTCCACCACTAACACCTCCCCTATAAGCGGGGCGAGGCGTAGCCACCTTTCTTTGGGGGCACACTGCCTCTTTTCGGCCATCGCCGACTTCAGCCGCCCCCCAAAGTCCCTGATGGTGGCTCCCTGGGGAAGGGATTCTCCATCAAAGCCGCCGAAGGGAGGCTTAGGGGTGCGGGGAGTTGATAGAGGCGACAGGCACCATCACGTACCTGAGCCGCTTCCACCATCTGCTCAGCTAGCCCAGGACCCCACGAGGTCCAAGGGCTGTGTACCCTAACTCCTTAGCAGTGCGAGCCCTCCTTCCCCTAGTTTCTCACCTTGGGTGGTGTGACTGCAGGAGGCGGTGGCCGCCAGCAGGATTGCAGCCCCTAGCAGCAACGCTGCTCTCGGGCTCGGCATCCTTCCAGCAGCCCCGATGCTGGCCGGGCAGGGATCTCGCAGCCACTGATTCAAAGCTCCGACCCCACTTACTGCTCGGCGAGAAACTCACTGTCTCACCTGCCTCTACCTGGAGGTCCTGCGCGCGCCTCCCAGGCGCTGCAAAAGTTTCAGTGAAACTGGAGCTGTTCCACGCACCTGCTGGAGGCCACGCCCCGAGGCCGGAACCTACGACTCGGCACCGCCCATTTCGAACGTTCGCCGCCTGGGCCACAACCCCAGCCACCTGGCCTGGTGAGCCTCCGCAGCTTGTTGCTGCGGAAGTGCACCAGGCAGTCTCGGTCCGTTAGGCTTCGAGGTTGCGGACTGGAGGGATTGGACCGATGACAAAGCTCAATGGAATGCAAATATCCGGGCTTGGGCCGTACCTTTACCCTTTAATTACTCCTAGAGAGTTGTAAAGAACCCTAGTGGGGCAACCGACCTTCTCTACGCTTTTCGTTCTTTACCTGATATAGGGTCAATGTTTTTTACTTTAAAGGAGCCCTGGTGGTGCAACAATTAAGTGCTGGGCTGCCAACAAAACGTTGGCGGCTCAACCCACCCAGTGACTCCGGCGGGACAAAGAACTCCCAAAAAGATTGCTGTTGTTGTTGTTATGTGCCCTCCAGTGGTCTCCAACTCGTAGCGACCCCTCCTTGGGTTTCTGAGGCAGTATCTGTACCGAAGTAGATTGCTCAACCTTCCTTCCGTGGAGTGGTTGGTGGGTTTGAATAGCCAGCCTTCTGGTTAGCCATCAAGTGCCAGCCTAAAAAACCTCTGTCACATGGGGTCACCGAGTGGGAATTGACTGAGCGGCTCACAGTAACAATAAGGATAAAATAAATTATGTCCGTGTTTGATGCATGGTATAAGCTCAATAAATGTTGTTTTTGTTCCCTTTCTCTCAGGGTTCTTCTTCAGCCCAGCCCCAGCTGTACCGCGGTTCCCTGGATGCTAAGGGTCACGCAATTTCCACCTCCTTCTGACGGGAAACACGGATAGGGGCCTTCATCATCCTGCCTGTACCCTGAACGGTGTCAGGTCACTACTGAAGATCCTCCCCCAGGGGAGATAATCCATGTCTATTATGTCCTTCGGTATTTCCAAGCCTCCATTTCCTCATCTGCAAAGTGAATATAATAGTGTGGGCATCTCTTGCTTTTCTAAAGTTTGTTTTAGGCCACTTCGCTTATACAAAAGACCTACACTAGTATCTCTCTGTTTCTGGTACTGAAAGAAATCTGAAGACGATTTTCATTCCTTACAAAAAAGGTGGAAAGCGAAAACTACCGTTCAGCATTTGTTTTGCAGCAAGCTGAGCCATTAAAGAGGCGGTGTTCACCCCAAACGACAGAGTGGCGTCTGGGAACGCTCAGAAAAATAGCCCATATAAGTTAACGGTAATTGTTTTTCGTTCTAGGCCATTTCGGCTTATGAAAGCGTTCATAGGAACGTTCTGCTTTCCGATAGCAGAGGAAACCTGTACCTTTTTCATAAGATGTTTGTGAGGATCCAGTGTACTAAACGCCCATCAAGCACTTCTTAATACTAAAAAAAACTAAACTCACTGCAGTCCTGTCGGATCCAACTCAGTGACCCCTCTTTGGGTTCCCAAGGCGATGTCACTATGGATAGTGGATTGTCCAACCTTCCTTCCGAGGAGTGGCTGGTGGATTTGAACCACTAACCTTCTGGTTAGGAGTCAAATGCCTTAGGCATCATACCACCAGAGTCCCCAGTATATACCACCAAAAAGACTATCTCCAAAGAATCTTCCTCTTTCTGAGAAAAAAGCATCAGGGTCCAGCCCCTTTCTATGTAAAATTGCATTGGAGTTTTATGGAAACATGCCTTGAATCATCAAAATTTTTGATGAGTAATTTCACTGAACAATGCTAGAAGTTAATGAATTATCCTAAGAATGTGGTTTCTCCCAACAACCTGACTAATCCAACTATTCATTTGAGTCCCTTTGCAGATGTTGGGATTGGAGTTTTCTGTGACTGTGAGATTACAGTATGGCGTAGTGCCTAAGGCATTTGACTGCTAACCAGATGGCTGGTGGTCCAAACCCACCAGCCACTCCTCAGAAGGAGGATTGGGCAATCTACTTTCCTAGTGATATCACCTTGGAAACCCAAGGAAGGGTCTCTATGAGTCGGATCTAACTCCACGGCAGTGAGTTTGGGTTTTTCTGGTTTATCTGTCTTTTATATTTTGAAGACTCCTTTGCCCTGAAGGATTTAGCATGTTGTATGGCTCTGGATTCTCTGGAACCTTACAGAGCAATGACCACACTTCCCTGCTTAAAATCCTGAAATAACTCCTCCCTTCCCTCTGAGTAAAACCAAAGCCTATCAAAGGTTTTTATACATCTTGCTCCCCACCCTCATCTCCTCACCACCATGCCCAGCCTCCTCGGCCTGTCTCCTACTCTTGGCCTGTTCCTCCTGCTCCAGCCATACGTGTCACTCTTGCCACTCCTTTGCACTTGCTGTCATTTGCCTGGAATGCTTTTCCCAAAAATATCTGTGTAGCTTGAGTTCTCACTTCCTTCAGGTATCCACTAAAATGATATCTTCTCAGTGGGAACTTTTAAGAACACCCTATTTTAAATTGCACCCCCACCCTATACTCCCCATCATCCTCTCCTGCGATATTTTCCTCTGTGGCACTGAACACCACTGCCTGACAGTCTACAGGTATTTATTTATCATCTTGCACCCCACCTGCAATGTAAGCTCCATGAAGGCAGAGTTTTTTTTTTTTTTTTTTTAAGTTTGTAGTCTTTTTAAAAGGGAGCTCTGGTGGCATAGTGCCTAAGGCATTTATTTGACTGCTAACCAGAAGGCTGGCAGTTCAAACTCACCAGCCACTCCTTGGAAGGAAAGTCAGGCAATCTATTTCCATAGTGATACAGCCTGGGAAACCCAAGGAGAGGTCGCTATGAGTCGGATCCAACTCAATGGCAGTGAGTTTTGTTTTTTTTTGGTTTAATCTTTTTAAAAGGATATATGAAATAACATGCCATATGAAGCTAGAAACCACCTATTCTACACTCCCATCTATAATATCAAATATTTACTTAACTCTCCATTTAAATCACTCTTCTTAAAGTACGTTGCTGTTGTTGTTATGTGCCGTCGAGTTGGCCCCGACTCATAGCGACCCCTCCTTGGGTTTCCAAGGCAGTATCACTACGGAAGTAGGATTGCCTCACTTCCGAGGAGTGGCTGGTGGGTTTGAACCGCCAGCCTTCTGGTTAGCAGTCTTAAAGTACAGAAAGGTAAAATTCTAAAACACTGTAAAAGTGGGCCTTTAGGAATGCAGAGGGAAGAGGTTTTTAATCTGTCTTGTCCACTGCCATATCCCCAGCACTAGAAAACAGTGGCTAGCCACGTAGAACAGACTCAACAAATACTTTTGAAAGAGTACATTTTCATTTATTGTGTATCTACTGACATGGATTGAATTATGTACCCCTAATCCACCAGCTGCTCCACGGAAGGAAGATGGGGCAATCTACTTCTATAAAGATTTATAGCCTTGGAATTTCAATGGGGGTGGCTATGAGTCGGAATCCATTCAACAGCAGTGAGTTTAGTTTGGTTTAACGTTTATGCTGAAGTCCTAATAATCTCAGGTACCTGTGAACATGACCTTGTTTGGAAATAAGAAGTTTGAAGGGATTATCAGTTAACATTAAGATCATACCAGACTAGGGTGGGTCCTAATCCAATCTGAGTGGTGTCCTATAAGAAAGGATAAGAGACAGAGAGAGAGAGACAGGAAGAGATAGGTAAAGAGGAGGCAGAGATGGGAGTTATGCTGACACAGGCAAGCAACCCCTGGGGCTACCAGAAACTGGGAGAGACAAGAAATGATCTTTCCCTAGACACCTTGGAAAGAACATAGCTCTGCAGACACCTTGAATTTCTGTTACTGGTCCCCACATCCAGGAGACACAGTTCTGTTCTTATAAACCACCCAGTTTCTGAGACTTTGTTAAGGGAGTCCTAGGAAACTGGTACACTTATTATCTGTCACTATGCTGGAAGCCAGAGTTGCAAAGATCAGTATCTCTGCCTCTGACTTCACAATCAGTGGGAGGCTGTTCTCCAAGTGGTGACTCATGACCCAGACTCCTCCCATCCTGTAGCTCTTCTTCAACTTATGGCTCCGAAGGTCACACAGGAGGAAAGAGTGTCAAAAGAAAATAAGTCAACAATAAAAATTAATCTATTAGATGAGGTTAATTCAGGCAGAAGATCTTGAATCGGGTAGCATCAAACCACACACAGAAAGGGACTCACCAGGGATGGCTTATATTGACAAAACTAGGAAGCAAAAGCTAATTACTTTCTTTTTTGAAAATGTTATTGTTTTGGGTGAAAGTTTATACAACATATTAGTTTCCCATTCAACAATTTATGCACAAATTGTTTCCTGATGTTGGTTGCTATCCCTGCAATGTGTCTTCACTCTCCCCATTTCTACCCTGCCCTCTCCATTTCTATCCCTCCTATTTCCCTGTTTCTCTTTGCTTTGGGGAAAATGTTACCCATTTGGTCATATGTAGTTGATTGTTCTAAGATGCACTTTCCTCATGGGTGTTACTATTTTATAGACCAATCTATTATTTGGCTGAAAGGTAACCTCCAGGAGAGGCTTCAGTTCCAGGTTAAAAGGAGGTTTGGGAGGCAGTTGTCTCAGGGGCTCCTCCAGTGTCTATCAATCCAGTAAGTCTGGTCTTTTTTAATGAATTTTTGTTTTGCTCTACATTTTTCTCCCATTCTGTCCAAGATCTTCTGTTGTATTCTGTCAGAGCGGTCATTAGTGGTAGCTGGGCACCATCTGGTTCTTCTTCTCTCAGACTACAGGTGGCTGTTGTTTGCATGGGCCGTTAGGCTTGTGGACTAATATTTCCTTGAGTCTTTGCTTTGTTTCACTCCCCTTTGCTCCATATGGGAAGAGACCAATAGTTGTATTTTAGATGGCCACTTGCAAGCTTTTAAGACCTCAGATGCTACTTACCACATTAT